GTTTCCAGCCAAGAACAGATGTGATGCAGTCAAAACTGTAGGGAATGGCAGCATGTAGTCTAGTGGCCTGGTTGCACCTCTTTGGGTACATGACACCTTGTCGTTGTAGTAGCATCTGCTGATGCTGTGAAAGATAAAGCACAACTAGGAAAAACTAAGGTGATAAAACCTAGAGCTGGAAGGGAAGGATACTGACCAGCTGGCTTGGACATGAACTGATAAAATTTTGGTATTGGCACAGTGATTCTAGGAGCAAGTGAAGGTACAAGGAATGCTGTAACCAAATGGGTCACATTAAATTATTCATTTTCTTTTATGTTCTCTTCAGAAAAAAAAAGAGTTGGAAGTTTGACTTGTTCTATACGCATCTGCCATTTCCTTTGAGGTAATAGACTAAAATTGGGTTGTTTGCTGGTGGACTTTGGTCATAGTTGAGTGTAATTAAGCCCTGAGCAGGGAGGGAATTGTCACTTCGAGTTGCCTCCTACCTCTTGCAAACAGCTGCCAGTCTCCAGTCCTTTTCTAAATCCTTAAGCTTGGTCCTTGCAGCACTTAAATAGGACTGAAAACAGGTTGATGGGACAAGTATGAGATGGATTTCCATGCTCAGAACAGTTTAGTGAGTGCGGGGAGGCAGTGTGTGTGGTGCTTCAGCTTCCTTCCATTTAATCTGTGCTTTGCGATGCATGGCCAGTAATTCCCATGAATTTTTTGTATGTAAAGATTGTAGCATATTCTACATTACATGCCAGCAGCTACTAATAAATGTATTAAGCCCTTATATTTTTCAGTCTTTGTCTAGTTCTCAAATGCACTTGACTATAGGAATGTAATTTTTGTCCCTAGTCTCTGTTCCTTCACGCATGAGGTTGTAAAGTTCATAGTTTTGTCTGGCTTTCCTTCCATGCTGGACATGTCCAGGACACACCGAGTAAGAATTAATGGTAGGTGTGTGTAAAGCTGGGTTGTGACAGCAACTCCTGTTCTTGATTCCTTACTGTGTCCCTGAACACTCTGGGCTATGCATAAAGTTCTTATGGAAAGAGGCTCAGCTTTGCTTCGTAGACTTATTGAAGGAACTTCCCTAGGTAACGTTTTGTTTCTCAAGCTACAGTTGGATAACACCTTTAATACCCAAGTCTTTGGCTTGTTTTGAGGGGTAGGGGTAGGTTGCACACCACCAACTACTGCTCCAGTGTTTGGTAAGGCTACACCCTCAGCTTAGCAAGGAGAGCAAGTGACGTGCAACTACTGAATTTAGTTAGCTTCTCTCTCAGAAAAAGGAAGCTTTGTTTTGAAGTCTCACAAAAGCAGGCATCTGAATACTTCCCTGACAAACAAGAGGAAAGAAGAGCTATCAGGTTTCTCTCAGTGCAGTGTCATTATCACTGCACAACTTTGCTTTCTCGCTGCATAAGCAAGGAAATGTTTTATTAGCTGACCTATTTGGTTTCCACATGAATGGGAAGTTAAGCCCAAATGGTTCTCTGTTTTGATTCTTGTGAACAATGAGAAGGAATGTTTTCTAGTGAACTTGGGGTTTCAGTCTTGTAAATCGGAGTTTGCAATTTCTCAGCCAGGAGTCACCTCTGGTAAATGATGCTCTTGCCATTCTGCCTGTCGCGTTATGATAGGAGTTAGATCAATGGAGGATAGAGAGGGGAACTACGTCAAGCCCTTCTCAATTTGACCAGTCTACCAGTTTCCCAAGACAGATGAGACCCTTGTACCCAACCCACCTGCCGCACCCCATTTGAGGAGAAGGGGGGTTACCTCGAACCCTTTACAGTTTGACTGGTCCGTCAGGCTTACGCTGACAGCGTTGTCACTGGGACAAATCCCTCTGGGCAGCCTGCTGAGTTGGAGGGTGTTCGTCTGACCTATTCAGGGACCCTCATGGGCAGTGCACCGGGACAGATCCCTTCTATCCCCTGTGTCAATTGTAAAAGTTTCCAGAAACATGTTTATAGATGGCAAATTTTATTACATATACTTGTGACAAGATACAGATTCGAAGACAGCCAGTGATAGGGACTGATTGCAGAAACAGATTTGATTTGGAACAATATAAAACCACAACTGATCAGTGATAATTCTAACTAGCGAGCAAGGTGTTAGTAACTAAGCGTGTGTAACACAGAGCTCTTACCCTATAGGCATCCCTATGTGGGGGGAGAAGAGAGGTCCAGCCCGTTGACTGGTCCCAGATGTTCTGATGGAGGTCTTCTCCCTAATATCCCCCTTCTCTTTTGCCATTTTATACTATTTCTTTACTTTCAGGTGGAGCTTGAGTGACCTAGTCATACATACCTTTGTTAGGATTGGTGTAAATTTTCCTCGCTTTGGTTGAAAAGCATAGGCTAGAAGAATTTCAGGGTGCATGCTTAGTGAGGGGTGGTCGCAGCCCGGAGGCGGATAGGTTTTGGGATGGCGGTGTGTTTTCATATTCTAATGATACTGTAATGAGCAAAGTTCAGCTTCAGGACACAATTTCACCATC